CAGTGATCTCCACCAACTCCCCCTATGTGTTGGGGGTTGTGGCACCCACCAACCAGTGGACGAGTCCTTCCGGCTCGGTTGGAGGCCCCCGGCGGTTCCGGGCTCCGAGCCCCACACGCGTGGCTTCGCCTCCAGGCGGTTCCGGTCGGAGGGAGCGATCCACGGGGCGTGGCCCAAGGGATTTGGATCATATATGTGGCATTGGTAATACATTTTCCATTTCCATTGACGCATAGTGAGCCCTCATTGGTAATACGGTATAAAAATAAACATATCCAAGAAAATCCAAGAGACATAGGACATGTGGGATGTGTATGGGTGTACATGTGGGCGAGTGCTTTCATCGCTTTGGCACGCCTGCTTTGAAGAGATCCTAGGTTCACGACACACGACCGAAAAAAAAAGGGCACCGGAGGAATTCTGTTTGATATCGACCTTCATCAAGCAATATGGGTCAAATGTCCCTCTTGTTCATGGCAGGTCGATGCAAGAAGACGCCTTTTCACCTCCACGGGCCGGGCCTCCGGCGAAACGAAGGCCGTCCTGCATGCAGCTCCGGCCCTGGGAGGGGTCTGAAGACCTCCACAACTAAAGGGCGAAAGGGGGGACGACATTGAAAGGAAACAAAGTTTTTTGGGTGTCATGGCAAACTTGGGCACGTGTACCTTTGCTTTCTCTCAGAAATCCTTTCACCACCTGGTGTTCGCATCCTTGGAAATGTTCACATGTTCTGGTTTGTCTGCAGCGACCTTGTTCCAGAACCGTCTTCCGGGTGCCTGAGCCTGAACCCAAATATATATATATATATTATATTTGTTTTTTCCAAGTGCACTAACGACACAACGGGACAGACAAACAAACAAACAAAGAGTTGGAACACCACAAATCAGAGGGAAGCTGTGCTCTTGAACAACAAGGCAGCAAAGAATGCACTCAAAAAAGGGAGTAGAAATTGAAAAACCGTGCTAGTGGCGCCAAATGCCGTGCCGGAAAACCTGCAGCCTGGGCTTAAGTCTATTGGGCTTTGCTAGGATGAAACAGATATCCCAACTTCTCAAGCTTGCCATCGGACAGAAACCATCTCCGTTCGGCCCTCCACTTTCTGTCAAGACGGCGCTCCATCCAAGACTACTTAAAAGCAAAGGCCCACCGGGCACAGGAGTTGGGCGGTGAGATGTCGGATGACCTCTTTTTGGGAGGCTCAGGATTAGACACCCCGAGCTTGCATCGATTTTTGTTGGACCTGTGACATTTGTTCCACCAATGCAGGATCACCCTGTCCGCTTGTTTTGACTCAGTGGAGCGGCTAGCCTGACTCTGTTCTTAAGCTCTTCAGATTGATTGAAATCATAGTTAACAAATACCAGCGGATACCATGTTTTGATGTTCAATGAGGCCATTTAGAATCCTTACAAGTAGCAACTTTCCAAACCAATCCTTCTCAGATTCTCTGTCCTCGAGGCTTCTGGGCGAGATGCCCCTGGCATCGCCGGCATACGATATATAAATTAACTTGGCTTGTCCCACAACTGTCTGACTGATGCAAAACATGGGGCTAATATGAGCTAATTTGGCTAATTATGAACCACTTGTGAGAATGTCCCATGTGATCATCATAATGATCATCACTAACATCAGCATCATATCCAGCATGTGGGTGTTGGATAACACCTTGAGGGGCATCCCCAAAGGACATCAACGGTCCGGACATCATGAAGCTCTGAAGACAAACATCTGACTCCAAGCATCTGACCAACAGAATTCAAGGATTCAAACACGCCTCCTTCTTCTGACGTGAATTTTTCCGGGATGCTGACCGACTGAAATCGGTGAACCCTGTCCAACTCGACCCTGGTGTGTGATTGGCCAACTTCTGAACCTCAAGGCCACATTCAAGGAACCGGCTCTGGAACAACTTGAAGCAGTATCTCGTAATGTTCTTTTTTGAGCACCAAAACTACAAAAATGACACAAACATAACGCTAATCCATGCAAACCCTGCATGCTCACAAGGGTATGGCGAACCAGTCATGGCTCTCTGTGGTTTCACTTGCCTAGGGCGTTCGCTCGCCTGGCGATGTGTTTGCCGCGTGGGCCGCCGTGGCATCTGATGCAGGGCTGCCGCTGGGCGATGCGCCGGGAGTCGGTGCCTGACCGGGGGAGATTGACGTCAAATGCATCAGAAATGCATCAAAACAATGTCTGACAAACAATGTCTGACCCCAAAAAGGCCCCTAGCCCAGCTTGCAAAACATTGAGAACGACTACAAATTGACCCAAAACAACGCCACCGAACGCACCCGAAAAAAAAAAAAAAAAAAAAAAAAAAAAATATATATATATATATTATAAATATATAAACAGGTTACAATGAATGCTGGTTTTCACAGCCATGCGCCTGGCCCAACTGCGTGGCACCCAGCGTCACAGCCTTTGGCTTTCGGATCATGGGACCCAAGACTCGCTTCTTGCGTTCGTAGTATGGCCAGGAGCTACGTCGTCCGATCGCTGAAACGCGATGCCCAACATGTTCCCAGAAGCTTCTTGCTACTAGTAATGTTGTGTTTCTCTTCTCTTTTGGGGGATATGATGTGTTGAACAATTAGAAGAAGCCTTAAGATATCTTAAGACTCTTAGAGAAGCGTGGCAAGCGGGTCACGGCCACAAGCACCAAATACGTCAAACACCTTCCCTCAGCAATGTTGGGCACTGACAGAGGGTCAGCCCTGGATTTGGAGGCTTGGAAGCCCAGCCAAAGAATCATAACAATGCCAAATCATCAGCACCAAGCGCTTCCGAAGAGCCCTTCCACCACGTTCTCGATCACTTCAGCATGCTGTAAGGTTGCCCCAACATCAAGTCTAATGTAATTAATATAGACTCTTGACTCTTGATTAATAAAGCACCCCATATGAAGGGGAATTTCCTTTCAAATGGTGGGGTGGTGTATTAATCAAGAGTCTACATTAAGTGTCCCAGCTCCGATGGTTGAAGGGATCCACCCTTGGCCAGGTGGCCGCTGGGCGCTTTGGACCCACGGAGTTGGGGTGGTCGATGTGATTTCCATCCCGCCACACGAAATCCGTGGTGCTGGTCATTGATTGAATAGACCCTACAAGTCCAAGGACCAAGTTAAACCTGGTCCTTTACCTCTTTGAGTACTGGTTTTGCATCACCGGACCCAGTCAAATGAGGTCCTTGACCTGTAGGGATACTTGAGCAGCTTCTTCCCAAGAAGCCAACAGCTCAAGATGCTCAACCCTCCCCTGGTCTTTCCACTCCAAGCAGCCTCTTCGGGCTGCATCCACCGTCCGGACCTTGAGAAAGGAGGCACAGGAGCTGACTGATAAGTCAATCCCAAAACCTCTCCTCCACAAATCGAGGAACCACAGTCGTTCAGGATCGATGGTGGAGTGCCTCAACAGCAACACCACTGCCTTTGATTTTATCAAGGCACTACCCAGAGGAACTCAAGCTTGCAATATCTTAAGTGTGCAGAACAGGGCCAACCACAAGCCATCTCAAATCCCAAGGCCGAGGTACATCAATCATTTGTGGATTTCACAGTCTCTGGGCGACACGCCAAAATGAAACCCTTGACAAGACTGTAGTGTATACCCGACATATGTTTTTCTTATCAACCAAAAACATTCTAGGTGTAATATGCTTATCCACACGCACAACTACAGTACATGCCATTGGCCCATCCTAGCTCTTTTGGCAAGTTCATCGATTCACCTTTCCCTGTTTGGGGCCTGTCATTCCACGATTTATGACCACTCTGTAGGAAGGGGTGGAATTAACTCCACAAGTAATGCCATTGGGTGGGAAAGCTTTCAGATCAAATCAGTGCCAAACTGATAGGCAGGAACCTCCTTCGACTCCTCTGCTGATCCTCGAAGGGGTCGTTGCAAAGAACCAAAAAAGCACCGTCCTCCGTGGGGGCGCGCGTCCGTTTCATCGCTGGCAAGGCACACTTGCGACAGAAGACCCTCCAGCTGTGCCAAGGTGGCGCCTTTCCAGCTATCAGAAGCACTGGACGCAGGCAGCCCCTGCATCGCACGGACACCGCACCGTGGCCGCACGTGGCCGATGCAAACAATGATGCAAACAAAGAGGGGTTGGATGAGCCGGCGGATTTGGGCTGTGAGGGTGGGTTTATGAAATAGATAAGATCAATAGAGGAAGCACAGCACGGAAGCTTCCTCTATGCTCAAGTTCGGAAGATTCGGGATTCTTCCAAATGAGGGCCTTTCACCTTCACCAACTCGTTGGACTTCCGTCTGTCTATGACCTAGGCCGGCCGTTCCGGCGCAGTCCCGGGCGTGGTGGACCTCCGGTGGCTTACGCCGCCGTTACGCCGCGTCCACCGTCTGAGAGTCTGACGTCCCGGAAACAGCGTGTCGATGTGATGCGAAGAACGGTATGGCCACGGGGTAGGAGCGAGCTCGTCTCGAGTCACACTGCTTCACACCAAAAAACCTGCGAACGCTTGCAAGAGCGAACGCCGGTTTCGACCCCCGTATGCCGTATACCTTCTGATTTGGACGTAAGAGCAGTGACACTCTGAAGAGTCCGCGTCGCATTGGTGATGGGATACGGCTGGCAGTTGGAGTTGGGACAAGCGCTCTGCATAACCTCCCTCCAGCAAACGTAGAAGTGGACAATCCTCTGTTTGTAGAGGAAACGGTTTTTTCCATGTGCCATTCTCAAACTTCTATGTTTTTTGGAGGGAGATGGATGGAGGGAGATTTTGCAATGTTTCGCTAGGGGATTTATGATCCCTTCCACCCCGCAAGGGGAGTAAATTAGGACCTCCACCCCCACTGAACTCCGCATTCCACTTTTTCTCAGTGCGTCCACCCCAGGCCGGGCAGCCCTGGAAACACAGGGCAATGAATTCAAGTGAGGTGTGCCTCAAACATGTTGAGTGGTAGAACTGTAGAGCATGTTCTCTTCAATGCACAAATGCACTGACACTGAAAACCGATGAATCTGCTACCAACAAAGCCTGTCCTGGCACACCGGTGATGGCACATCCCTCATGACGAATGATTCAAGTCTGGTGCGAAATCCATAGCGCAGGCTTGTTGCGACATCTCCAGAGAGCCTTTGGCAAGTCCGTCACCAAAAAAACGTTTTAGAACTGTGTTTCTCTTGCAGCCAGGCTGTTCCACTTACTTGTGTCCCTGCATGCGCGAGTGCACTTTAAACTTCCAAGATTCCACTGGCGGAACCCAACTCTTGTTTCTGCTTCAATGAGCGGCTTTCCATCATCAGGTTGGTTGTGATCAAACTCCCGTGCCGATCTTGTCACTGAGAAGTTGGTCCCAAAGCGACCTTGGGTCATGGCAGAATGCACTTCCTGGTTGAGAAATTGAGGGAGGTACCCGGGTACCCTTGGAAGACAAGGCCTTGACTCCTTTGTATCATACTTGGCCCTTCCTGTGTGCTGGAGTCTCATAAATTCATGTCAAACAAAAAAAACATGTCCAGTCATCATGCAGGAACTTCCCACGCCACTTCCCACCCGAAAAGTCACAACATGAATCGACCTTGTCTGGCTCATTTCAAGCTATTGTCGAGTGACTGCTGTTCTCCTACACCACGCATATTCAGAGTGAGCACGCATAAAACGAATTCAATGCATTCCATCTCTTCTCTGCCCCCTTCATGGCCAGAACCTGGACACCTCAGCATGGAAGAAGATCTGCATATGGCCCTTGCGGTCCTCAAAGCATCACCCCCCCCATCCCCCCAAAAGCGACCCATGCACTTTCCCTGGTCCTTCTGTCTGCCGCGAGCGCTTCGGCTCGCCGTGCGGAGGTCCGGACCACAGGGTCTCAATAAAGGTTCCTCTTTTTGTTGCACCTGTTGGTTACCTGTTGGCTTTTTTTTGGGGGGGTGTTCCAGCAATCCCCCAAGAGGTTTTTGCGGTGGATCCGCATATTTTGGTAGGAAGCTCGAAGCCTGGAAGCCAGGTGATCCTCCAGAAGTCCTCTCAAGTCACGAACAAAACACATTAAGTCGGTGGGTTCAATCATCCCAGGTACGGGTTGAACAACAAAATCTCCTAATCCATCACCTATATGTATATAGAGTATGGCATATAAATATAGCTCTTTATGGATGTCTTTGACGCTATCTTCGCTCCGCCCCCCAGTTGCAGGTCTGCCAGTCGCCGGAGCCCCCGGTGGGGCCGAGCAGCATCTGGTCATTCAGCGCGGTCATGGCCTGGTAGTAGTCCTGGCGCGGTAGGACCGGGGCCACCCGGAGGACCATCCATGTACGGAGCATCCATGCCGCCCCGATGACGGCGGTTGATGAGTAGATTCACTACACTGAATTCTGAGATGAAGTAGATAGTTCTTTCCCAATCACCACCCGAAATCCCTGGTACATGTTGTGTGGCCTGGCCTTTCAAACATGATGGCATGTCTTGGCCTTTCTACGCTAAGAAAATCATCGTCCCACGTCCGAGGTCCTCAGCCAAACGTCCCACTTCCTCGTGGAGTTGCATCGCCGAGCCGACCAGGACCTGCCAAGCCGATTTTGCTGCCGACGAGGTGGCACAGACGAGTGGATACTGACAGAGACGATGGGAATCCATGATGATCATATGTAGAATTTGGGTCTATCCTATTACCAGGGCCTAGTGGATGATGATGGCTACTAAAGGCCTGGTTCAAAAAGAGTGTTAATTGTGTACTGACTGTTTCAGGTAAGAACGGACAAACCCAATGTAGACTCTTGATTCATCGACACCACAAGGATTGAACAACCGATATGGGGGGAACATTAATCACGAGTCTACATGACCTGGAGATACCTTCTAGATCTTTGGGGCTTAGTCAAGTCGCGGAAGTTCCAGCCTGGAAGAGGTACTTAGGCAGGGATGTCAATTGGTTAGAACAAGATTTGGATGATGATATTTTATGTTTTTTGCGCATGATCTGATCTACGATCCCAGTGAGGGCCCCTCTGATTGTTGGTCTGAGGAAGGGAGCCCTGTAGGCTGCATTCGTTTTGCCGTTTTGTCAATAACCTGGACGTGGACAGTACCTTTTGCTGCTTGATCATGTGGTCGGAATCTCCTCGACCAAACAAATAATACGATCCCTCGTTAACATGCACCTGCTTACTTTCCAAACGCCCCGTCCGCTGGCGAATTCAGAGAGGCTCCCTCAAGGCAAATCCGGCAGACATCTGGCTACACTCCGACTCACTAACATGGAAGTGGAAAACCTCCTGTTTGTAAAGGAAAATAGTCTTCCGAGGGGTCATTTTCCACTTCCATGTTAGTGAGTCAGAGAGTACCTCCAAACCTCTACTTGGTTACATGAGACCTCCAAACATCCACTCCGCTGTGGAAAACCCCACGTGCGCACCGCACTCTTGGCGTCAGCCGCTCGGAGCCGCTCGCCATAGGCTGGCAGCTCCCGCAGGGAGGGGGTGTTCACCTCGGGTGAAGTGGTGTGAATTGGGATGGGCCTGCAGAGTCAAAGAACTTCTCTAATCCAGCAGTCACAAAGGGGTGCCTATTGGAGGATAGGGGTGCCCAGTATCCATTCACTTAGGAACTAAACGCAACCCCTTTGTGACTCCTGGTTATGAGCTTGGATTCTGAAAAGGCATACTCGGCAAATTCAACATACACAGGAATACCACATAGAAAAAAAGAAGACACTATATGGGGGATTGCTCTAGGTGCGCTTGCGCCATCTGTTCTGAAACTCAACAAGTCGAGGCCCAAACCAAGTTGGGTCCAACAGTAGGACTCCTTCACCAGCCAAGTGTAGCAAATCTGTGGGGAAAGCGTTCAGGATTCGGCACGCTAAAACTGAATGGATCTGTTCAGACCATGTTTAGCCAAGTTCTGGGTGCTCGAGTCATCCAAAGCCAGCACCTTCGACCCCCAAGTGACCAAAAAAGCTCTCTCAGAGTCATCAGAGTCACAGGAGCCAGGTAGACCACGGGTCATACACAACCTCTCTGTAATCTGAAGTGCCACATGTTGCTCGCAAAACGAGCAACCCAATCGGGGACTAGAAACGATGTTGATGTTTCGACTCGTCAGAATATCGTTGGGGTTCAACCTTAGGGAAAAGCCTCTTCACTGGAATGTTGGAACATTGGTTTTTCCCAAGGCATTCCTAGTGACCCCAGCAGCCCCATGGAGGTCAAACACTTCTGCTGCATTTGGAAACGCGCCCCCCTTTCAAAACCATGTGTTTGGTAGGAGGCTTCACCTTTGACCCAGCAATGGGTGATGGTTTGGAGCAGGGCGCTGAGTGAAGCATTAATAGTGAGAAAGATTGTTCCACTGTGAGTGTTGGTCAAGAGCCCCCTGGAAAGAACAGAATTCTCTTTCAACCATCCCCAAGCTACCATGGCTGGGCCAATTCTTGGGCTAGGTTCGCTTTTGACTCAGGGCTGCCCTGGTACAGGGTGAAGGGCAGTTGGCTGACTCCCTAAGTGTCCTTCCACCTATTCTCATTCAATGGGGAAACCAATCCCCCAACAAGGCTACAGGTTATCCAAAGATTGAACTCCTTTTCCCAGCGGTTCTTGCTTAATTCATGGGAAAGTTTCCTGGGTCAACCATTTTTCCAAATGGCCAAGAAAAGAAGTTTTGCTGATGATCCACTTTTCCTTGGCTGCTCAGCCGCATAGCTTTCGAGTGCCTCGACTTCCTTCAGCTGCCGGGCGAAGTCCTGGCGGACGAGGGGGCTCGAAGAGGAGGATCCAGGTCCTTGGATTTGGTGGAAACAAAGGGAAGGCACACATGATCACACATATTATATTCATATATCATGAATATGTATATGTGAACATGTATGCAATACGTATAAGTGAATCACCCTATAAGTGTCGGTAGCTGGGTGACCTTTGAAGGTGACGTGTGTTTTCCAACCAAAGCAAAGGCCACAGGTCAGGTAGCAGTTGTTTTCCCGCACACCACAGGCCCGTCCACGGGCGTCTCACGTTCTGGCCTTTCAAGGCCGCAAAGGTGCCACAGCTATGGCGGCACGTGCGCAAACGGTAGCCTCATACGGCCAGTAAGGCCGATGGCTGAAGGGTGCCCTTGAACCGGAAGGTTCACGGAAGTCGCACATGTCCCTCACTGACCGGAAGCGAAACACATAAGTTTAGCTGAGTTGTTCACATGCCCCGTGTGTGAGCTTCCGATCAGATCCAGCCACGTGCTCTCACCTAAACCTAACTCCTCAGTCTCAGGAGCATCCGCAGGCAGCCGCCGGGCCCGGAGCTTCTTTGCGGCAATGAACTTTGGGTCGTAGACCGCATTTCACTGCTGACCTTCTTCCAAGAATCGCCGCATGCGATCCTGAGCTCCCACCTTCGTCAGCCCGTCGGCCAGCTGCATGTCCGAGTTGCACCATCGCAGCTCTGTGGCCTGGAGCTTCATGTTCTGCACCAAGGCCAGGATCTCCAAGGCCGTGTACTTCTCCTTGGAGGAAAAGGAAGGCATATCGCCCTGTTGGCATGAGTCGTACAGGGCCTTCGCATCAGTGATGAGGAAGCCCCTCATCTTCTGAGCTGTTTCTCCTGGTCGATGGAGGTTCACCTTCTCGCCCATCATCTCCATCCACATCGTGCGGACGAACATGAGCTCCTGCTCTGCTTCTGCCAGGCTCCAAGTGCCCCGTTGGTGATGGGTCCAGGATCTCAGCCTCTTCTTCTTCTTCTCTTGGTCTCTCTTGCGAAGCTGGTCTCTTCCGGGAGGCAGACTCTTCGGGGTTCAAATTGCCAGTTCGTTGCCGCAGGGCTGCACTCATCTGTTGCCGCTGGGTCATGGTGTCATCATCGAACTCGCCCTTGGCAATGATGTCGGTGAGGTCATTGAAGGTCCAGGGTGTCGCCAATGGAGTATGGCTTTCTGCGATCACTCTTTCTCTTTCTGAAGCAAAGCGCAACTGGCTCGCGTGCACCCGCTTCAATCTTCCGCTGGCGATGATCCAAGCCACTAAATGAAGTTGTCGAACTTGTCCCTCATAGCTAGTCTTTGTTTCGAGAGCCAGGATGCGAGCGGGTCCATACCAGCGTGCAACACGGCGTCGAGGGATGTCCAGGAGATGATGAGATCTCTCCCTCTTATCCGCTGGAGGTTGGTACCTCTTGTAGTAGACCAAGTCACCGGGATGGTATCGCACCGGTGGCTGCATGCGGGTGTTTGCCGCTTGGTTGATCTTGTTCTGCAGTGTCAACTTCCGATGGAGGTTCTCTGCCTGCAGCCTCTGTTCCAGCCTATCTTTCATCTTCTCCTCGGTGCTCATCCCTGACCAGTAAGGAAGGTCTGGTCCATCATGTAGGCGGTCCGCTTCCGTGGGATTTCTCCCGAAAATCCATTGCATTGGAGTGTAGGTGCCAACATTGCTCATGGTGTTGTGAGCCGCAATCATTGCCCATGTGGCAATCTCTGGTGGGGCCTCAGTTGACCTCAGATGTGCCATGAGCTTTTGCTTCAGGGTGCCAATCAACCTCTCAACTTGGCCAATGGATCCATGGTGCTCTGCAGGAATGGCCTCGATCTCAATGCCATGGCCTTCGGCCCATTCTTCCAGTTGTCGGCCTCGATGAGCACCTTCTTTGTCCAGTTTGATGCACTTGGGGTAGCCAAAGTACTGGATCCATCCTTGGTGAAGGGCCTGAAGCATCTCTGGTGTAGTTGGATTCCTGCTGGCAGAGACGGGGTGCTTGAAGAGGAAGTTCGCTGCCCCGTAGGTGGAAGCCTCATCCACGATCACCTGGAAGTGGAAGGTCTCGTCGCCCACTGTGAACTCCATATTGTCCAGCTGAATCACTTCCCAGAGCTCAGTGGCTTGCTCCAGGGTCACTGCGCGTCGTGCCGGTGGAATGGCAGACTCTTCGCAGTCCATGCAGTGCAGATTTGCCGCTATCGTCTTGACCATGGTGGAAGCGCCACGGTCTCGCAGCATCTTGATGAAGACTTGTCGTCCTGGGTGGCCCAGCTTCTTATGGAGATTCAGGAGATCGGTTGCCACTCGCATCAGCTCTTGGTCTGTGCTCTTGAGGACCGACTCCGGGTCATAGTCGGGCGTCTTCTCCACCGTCATGATTTGGTCCTCAGAGTGCTCGTGGATGAACTTCACCAAGCGGGCCATCTTGTCGCACAGCTGCTTGGGATAGAGAGCTGACAGCCGAGTGCGGGTTCCTCCTTCACATGGAACGTGAGGTTCTTGACATTGGCACAGTCTCTGAAGCTGCCACACCACTTGTGAAGTGCTCTTCACTTTCCAGGGCTTCTTCATCAATCCACCTTCTGGTGCTCGGAGTCCATAGGCACAACCATCGAAGACTGCTTCAAAACCTCCGTGTTGGCGCCAGAAGTTCTGTATGCACTGAAACTCCCAAGCCTTGTTGTACTTGGGCCATTCTTGAAAGACTTCGCCGCCTTGCTGGATCTGGAGCTCCATGATGATCACTGCTCTGCTTGCCAAGCGTTTTGAGCGTTGAACCTTCTTCTCCACTTTGGCTCGACCTTCTTCGGTCAGCTTGTTGAGCTCTTGGATGCCGGAGGTTGGCCCACAAGGTAGCGATACCCATAGCACGTCGGGTTTATAAGTCTTCAGAAGCTGGATCACCTTGTTGAAGCCAGACTTCTTGTTGAGGTCGCAGTCGTTGAAGAGACCGCAACGAATTCCGAGGCCTCCTTGAGCTTCCAATGCGGTGGTGAGTCCGCTGTCCTCTTCACAGCAGAGTTCCATGATCTTTGGAGGCTTCTTGACCTGATCCGCCATCAGGCTCATCATGATGTCCTCACATCCTTGTTCATACTCTTCAGCCAGGGAGAGCAGGAAGGCGGTGTCGTCTTCGGTCAGCCTTCGGCCTTGGCCGGGGTCGTCACTGTCAGATGAGTGGGGCTGCTGACCTTTCTTCTTCCGCTTCTTGCTGCAGGCTGAAGCATCAGGCAAAATGCCTATGGTTGGCAAAATGCCAGCATCGGTGAAACTGGTGCCCATTGGGATCCCCAGGTAGTACTCGTCCATGATCTCCTTGGACTTAATCTCCGGCAGGTTGGGGTCCTTCATGGCAGGCTCTTTTGGTGCGGTAGACGATGAAAAACTGTTCATAGCGCATGCAAAACTTGGTGAGGAACTCTTCAAAGAGGTAGTTCCTCCGGCTGGTGAAACATGAGATCCTTGGAGTCCGGGAGCTGCCTTTGCATTCTTCTTCACGTGGAACTTGGGCTCACCGGTGTCACTCTGCTCCATTCCTCCTCCTCTTCGTTCTCCGGCTGGGTGGCGATCTCGTACTCCTCTGCTGACTTCTCCGGTAGCCTTGCACTCTTCTTGCTGCCGGTGAGGGCCATCGTGTGGTTCTGAGCATACCCTGCCGTAGGTGGTGAAGGCGTCATAGGGCGTTCCGGGCCTTGGCCCTGCGAAGACTTCCCTGGGGAGACCTTGGTTGTCTCGGCCGCAAACTTGTCCTTGCGCTGCTGGATGGACAGCCATTGCTCCTTCTGCTTGCGAATGGTCTCCATGCGTTTCTCCAGGGATCTTTCGGCTGCATCCAAGCCAATCTTCTTGTCCTTCAACTCGATGCTGCCCTTGTCCGGTTTCTTCTCCACCAACTGGGTCGTCGTATCGGCAGCAAGTGGTCCTGCTTGTCGAGTCAGCCCGTGTGCGCCGAAAGCCGGCGTGTAGCTCAGGCGAATCCCACACTCCGAGTGACTCAAGACCTTCCGCCTCACTGCACTTCTCAACCACAAGAGCTTGTTCAGGGGTGTGTGAAGACTCAAAACTCATGCAAAGCTCGGGGTGCAGGTGGTCCAACATGTCGTGGGAGGTCTGAAAAGTGACATCTTCATGGTCCATGGGAGAGACTGCGCACAGAGGACTGCTCACCTTATATGCCGCACGAGGTCGTGGTGCATGTTGCTCCAAAGGCTGGCCCATGGTGAGCCAGTCAGTACGAAGATCAACAAGAAGATGTCCCGCCTTGCTCTTTCCAAGTGGGATCTTGAGGTCAGGTGCCACATTGGACAAAACCATCCAGCAGCCGCTCACGTCGATCACCGCGCCAAGGCGATCCAAGGTGCGCATGCCAATTAAGATCGGCACCTTCTCAGCGTCGAGGGTGAACATGCCCAGCATCACGCTGTTCTCGCCGAGCTTCTGAGGTACCAGCACACAAAGGATTCGCTGTACTTGATGCCACCATTTCCAAAGCGAAAAGGTTTGACGGCATTCGGGCCAGTGAAGACCTTGATGCCCTCTTCCCATCCTTGGGCTTGATGTCGCTGCCACATCAACTTCTCCAAGGCCTCAAGGGATCCAACCGTCTCAGTGGCTCCCAGGTCCAAGACGCCATAGCCCGAGGTGTCACCAGTGATCACTTCGTTCGAGGCCATGCCAATGAAGTCGAGGTCCAGCGGGCTTGGAGTCATGGCCTCCACCCAAAAGGTTCCTTTGCGAAAACCTTTTCCAGTCGTAGGTGAGCTGCTGGTGCTGCGCTTTGGACAATTGCGGAAGCCATGTGACTTGTCACCGCAGATGAAGCATCCTGTCGAAGTCGCCTCAGCTGACAGCACTGTCTCATTGGCCATAAAGGTGGCAGGGAAGGAACTGCTTGGGGAAGAAAAGGACATAGATGATCGCCCTTTTCCTTTCTTGCTTTTGCCTTTTCCTTTGCCCTTCTTGCCCTTGAGCAGGTAAGGTGGATAGAATCCTCGGCTTTTGCCCTTCGCCCGTTGGAACTGCCGGCTCTGCAAGAAGGTCTTGGCCTTGTTCTCATAGACTGAGTAGGCTTCCTCAAGCTCTTTGTTCTCCTCGGCGGTCAAGTCGTCGAAGTAACCATCATCGCAAGCCCAGAAAGCTCCATGACCATCTGTCTCATACCACTCGCCGGACCAGTCCATGGTGTAGCCATGCCAACCATCGCTCTCACGGGTCCAGTAGATCTCAGGATCTTCCTCCATAGAGCTCTCCGTAGGTCCGGGATCATATACTTCAGGAGGTAGTTGGTGACCTACCCAATGCACTTCCGCAGTCAGGTCATCCATCGTGGTCTCATCCTGGTTCACCAGAAGTCCCCAGGAGCCAGCCTCTTCCACCCAGTAGGTGCGTCGCTTCGATGGATGTCTGGTAGCATCTGCCTGTAGTAGTTCTTCTTCTTGATCTCGAAGCGCCGTCTCAATGTCACGGAAGGTGAGGCTGTTCTGGACACTGGCCTGGACAGACAACCTGCTGGCTGCACTCAAGTTAGCTCGTCGTAGAAGTAGCCAGCCAAGGACTTCATCAGGTAGGACCTGGATGTCTTCAACCTCAAGTTCATCCCATGGAAGGTCTTCTCCAGGTGAGGACGTGTCGTTGTCGGAGTCTTCCCAGTGGCGACGTTCTCTTCGCCACTGTCGCCATTCCTCAGCCGTCCATCCATCGTCTTGGTGCCAAGGATCATCAGGAGGATCCTCTGGGGAGGTTTGCTCTGCACCATCATCTCCAGTTTCATCTTGAGGTCGGGGATCTGGTGCTCGACCGGTAGGCGATGAGGGCGATGCCTGAGAGGTTGCTGCTGCTGCTCTGGTAATAGGCGATGAGGGCGAAGTAGGTGGTCTGCTCGGTGGTTCAGCCTGAGGTTCTGACATGGCGCTCCTGGCCACAGGTGTCTCCAGGGTCGTCGCTGGAGGTTTCTTCTGTTGTACCTTGCGGTAGGCCTCCAGGACATAGGATGACCATTGGCTCATCGGCATGCCCAATGGTCTCCTCAACCTGATCAGCAGGTCCTCCAAGCGAGCTCCAGCATCAGGGACAGCTGTCCGGCATAGCCGGCTTTGCAAGAACTTCAGGAGATACTTGGTGCCGTTCTTCTTGCTCAGCTTGGAGTGTTCCAGGTCAGGGGTGACCGACCATGCACGGCCAGTCAACCTGGACGCAAGGTCAGGCGCCAGGTATTTCTTCTTTCGGTCAGGTGTTTTCTCCCATTGCAATCTGACCTTTCGAGCGTAGTCGCCCCAGGTGGTGGGATCTCCGTCCCATGTGACCACCACCTCTTTGGCCGAGATGGTTGCCATCGAGGATCTCCGTCAGGGAGTCGAGGATGTAGCCAGGCGCCGCGAGTAGAGCTCGAGGTCGAAGGGAGGTGCCCAGCCGCCGCCGCCAGCCAGGGAAGTTCACGAGGAGGGGCTCAATGAAGTAGTGACGTTCCAAGGTCCCAGGAGATGGCACTCGCCAGAGCTCCGCTACCAATGTCGGTAGCTGGGTGACCTTTGAAGGTGACGTGTGTTTTCCAACCAAAGCAAAGGCCACAGGTCAGGTAGCAGTTGTTTTCCCGCACACCACAGGCCCGTCCACGGGCGTCTCACGTTCTGGCCTTTCAAGGCCGCAAAGGTGCCACAGCTATGGCGGCACGTGCGCAAACGGTAGCCTCATACGGCCAGTAAGGCCGATGGCTGAAGGGTGCCCTTGAACCGGAAGGTTCACGGAAGTCGCACATGTCCCTCACTGACCGGAAGCGAAACACATAAGTTTAGCTGAGTTGTTCACAATAAGGGACTGGCATGTTGGACGATCACTTGAGGAATTGGGGTGGTTGAAAAGGGGTGAGTCAATGTGGGTGTATATTCCAGTCCCAGGGAGTGTCTGGGTACATGTGTATATTATATATATATGCTTTAAATCTCATTCATGATGGTTTCCTTGTGACTTGTACCTGATCGGATTTGATCCTTGTTCTACTCTAACTCCTGAAATCTCACTCTGAAATCTCTGAAGGTACGCCCGTCCCCCCCCCCCCGGAATCGCGTCACCGGGTGGGCCACATCGCAATACTACCCTGAGGGCTCAAATTGGGATTGCCTGGGGGGTTCTAGATTTCGCAGTGCCGCCGGTGTGTAAGTTTTGATATAGATAGATAGATAGATAGATAGATAGATATATAAATAGATAGATAGATAGATTGGGTCTATCCTATTACCTGCAACAGTGGATGATGATGGTTAGTAAAGGCCTTGTCCAAAAATAGTGATAACTGTTTGCTGACTGTTACAGGTAATAGGACAAACCCAATAAATAGACAATTAGTAAGATAGACAACTAGATAAATATATTACGTTGCTGATGCAGTGTCGAATCACTGACTACTGCCGTATACATCCCTGGAAAAAGAGGTGAACCGAACTTCCTCAGCAACACATTGAGTTGAAGCAAGCCAAAAAAAACAAAGACTTGTCCAGGTGCCAGTTCCATTGGGGCAGTCTGGACTTAAAATCAGTTTTTTTGGTGGAGAAGCCATGTCATGGGGAAAACCAATTCTCACAGAATTCAGGTTGGCCGGTGCAAGCCTTTGACTACACAAGCGATGGTGAGAGGAGGGTCTGCCACCATCGCAGGGTTCATGGTGCAAACTGCCAACTGCGAACGGCCGTAGGTTGGGTCTATCCCATTCCCAGGGCCCAGTGGATGATGCTTAGTGGTCAGGCCTTGTTCCAAGCCATAGTGATTAGCTTGTTGACTGACTGTTACAGGCAATAAGGACACCCCCAGCCTTTATATGCTCTATATTCACCACCCCCAAAAAGGCACCGAAAGGTAGGCAATAGTGAGTGACTGTTACAGGTAATAAAACAGACCCAAGCCATAGTCGGTGCACGTGCAACCTCATGCGACCAGTTTCCAAAGGCAAATGACGAACACGGCGACGACCTGTCCTGCAACTGCTGCGCGTGCTGCACCACGTAACTTTTCTTCGTACTGGAATGCCTCAGCAAATGCATGATATATAGAAGGTGGTTGTGAGAAAACCATCTGTTTGGAGGGGTAACTGAACGCAATCTATCGAGGCCGCCCCCTCCATACAATAGTGGTCCCATAGATAGTGGCACGGTTTCCAATACATTCTTAGTGGGGATCTGCTGTTCTATCTATTTGGGAGTCTCCATATGTAATTATATATATAGCTTGTTTTTAACAACAAAACTTAAAGTGTGTTTGTTCCACTGCTGACAGGGCGTCCCGCCCTGATATTTTCCCCATATTTGTGCCAACTCGAACCTCATCCTGCTGCCATCATGTTGCAATCCATAGCGGAAGACGAATCCGCAGTTGGCCCCCGACCCTTCGCTGAGTCTCACTCCCTTCGCTTCCCTCCCAAAGAATCTGGGCCCTCGACCTCATGCGAAAGCGGTCCGAGGGCCGGGTTCCCCACCCAAACCATGAGGTCGGGCCCAAGGAGTTCATCATTTCGTGTCACCCAAACCCATTGCGATCAAAACCCACCCCCCAAAAAAATGGTGACCATGCAGGCGATCCACACTTCCTGGGTAGGGAAACACATGCTGCCATCAGGCGATGGTCCATCGATTTCGCCGAGCGGAATTCGGAGCGAGTCCGAGGTCCATCGGACGATCAGTGCGATTTAGAGTGACAAGAGGATCTGTGAAGCGCCCGCGTGTTCGGTATGCAGCCAGTCTTCCAACTGATCCATACCTCAGCAAATTTGCAAAATGTCAAAGGACTTCAACATGACACAACCGTAGTAGTACAGGACAGTGGACAACTTGCAGGAAAAAATTGCATGGTCTTGAGATTTGAAGGAAACACATCACATCTTTCTATATATATATATATACACTTTCAGTCTAGCTTACTCTTCGTAGCTGCACGTGTATACTTGACTTCACGCATATCCTGCATACTGCAGCAATCATATAACAGTAGAATATTGACAATTGATGAATATTGGGTCCTGCAACTGAGGCATCCTCCTTGGATCTCCGCATGTTCAAGCACCCAACTTGAGTGCGGAGCTTAAGGGGAATGACTCAACCTTGTCAAAACATGAATTCCTACGCATCACTTACAAAACGTCTGACTCACGTGTGACCCTGAAAAGCTGAAAAAGCGACTGTCCCTGGTCACCATGTCTCTCCATGGGGCACACCTCAGAAACAATCTCCGGGATGCAGTTGGGCCAAACCCATTGGATCCTGTAATCGTTTTGTTTGGTATTCGTTCGCCTTAAGTTGCTGGAAGAAAAGAGTAACCCAGGAAACTTCTGCAAAAACAACTCAGCTTCGCCACGAGTTCAACACCCAAATCGTTTGGCCACGCCTTTTTGGACCTCGTGTTTCTACCATTTGGCAACACCCAAACGACCTCAGTGGGTCCTCCCAAGTTCGGTCACTCTCAGCCAGGTCGCTGTGCTCCAGCTCCTGACTGTTCGGAGCTACAGCCGCTCGCACTCGGCTCGCGCCCATTCGACCGAAGGCCACGAGAAAAACCGCCGGAGGACACGGGCGACAACGCCGCGGAAACCGGGTCGATGGGGTGTTCTTGTGGGGCCCTTCCAGGATCCATGGTGGCGCAAGATTGACCTAATTTGGGTCTATCCCATTCACTGGGCCCAGTGGATGATGATGGTTAGGTTGCAAGCCTGTCTCTAAAATAATGATAACTGTTTGCCGACTGTGACAGGCAATAGGACACCCCCAGCCTTTATATTCACAAGCCCCGAAAAGGCGCCAAAAGGTAGGCCGTATCTGTTTAAACAAGAAGTCCACACGGGGCGCAGTCGAAGTGATCCTCGCATTAACATTGTGCACTCACCACATTGAGCTAGACCAGGTGCCCATGATCCAAGACCTGCTTAAGGCTTAAGGTCCAAGCAGCCGCCCCCAACTTAGACGCTTATCAGTGGTGTTTGGTCACCAACTCCCAGTGTCGCCAGTGCCGTCTCATCGCCCCGATCGCCTCGGCCTCCATTCACCCCCCCAAGAGTTCGGGGTCCGGGGAGAGACGTCAAAGAAACCATCGAAACAACAAGCCGTCGCTTTCGGCTCTCCTGGAGTTTGGGCATCAGCTTGGAGGACTTGCCAATCTCATCCAGCTTGCCTTAGAGGGAAGGCACAAAGCACAAAGCATCCTGCAGAATCGATCTCAGCACTCAGCGGCTGCAGCACTCAAATTCATTTTGTATATTTTTTGAATCTACAGTGTTTCAAGCGATGCTCACCCTGAACAATGTGGAAGAATTCAGAACACACACATATATCATATATATATATATCACGTGTATATATATATATCTCTTATATACGATATGGTACTCCCTGAGATCCACCCACTCCCTGAGATCTACCTTTGATGCTCTTCCAAAGGCTTATACTTACACAAAATCAGACATTGGGATTTTCAAGTCTGAACAGCTGTCAGACTTGGGATGCAAGATTGCGATCCCTGGATTGAAGATGGAAGATATACAAACGTTTTGAACAAATGACCTGAGGTACTGACGTCCTGCCTGACATCTAAAACGGCAGCTGATACAAATGTACCTGCACTTTGTCGGGCATGTCCACCCCTTTTTCATCCTAACACGTACTCTGACATGTGCATTTAACTGAGAACCTTCTGGGACTTTAGTTGGCGGTTGGCATATTTCCTCACCAAATGCAAACACACGTACATTCAATTATGCCGGACAAATCTTTGGCACACCACCAGTCATGCATTCTGACAAAAAGGAGTGAGGATGGAGAGAGGGAGAACTGACCAAACATGCCTGACAGGCTGGGAAGTAGGGACACAGTCACTGACAATTACACTCTGCGCAGCACTGGACTTGTGAAAACGGATTTCAACAACATTCACTAACAGTTCTGACCAGATGCGTCTGGCAACGGGTTGCCATCTTCCAAGAAAAGACTAGACAAAATTGATTTGCGTTTACTGATTGTCCAAGCTGCTATCTATAGACCAACTGTAAGCACCATAGATCCACAATGATTCCAAGGTGGTGCCGGTACCCTCTTCACACAAATGTGCTCTTCATCTCAGCAACTTCTGCCAAGTCTCGTTTCAGCTCTGCCACCCGGGCGTGGGCTCTTGGCTGAGCGGGTGCAGAGCTTGGCGAGCTTGGTGACACACCCAGCTGTTGCTCCTCTGCACTGAAGGAGGTCCCGGTCTTCAGATCCAACAGTTCGACATGTCGGAGAACGGCAAAACCCACGGAGCCAGAAAACAGTCCCCAACAACCTATCTTTATGGGCACGCTACTACTTGGGACTTGGGAAACTCAGATATAATTATATATAATTATAATGCACTAGGAAAACGAAAGCCAAATGGGTCGTTGCTGCCACTGTTGAACAAACATTCTGGCAAACAAGATTCAGAGCGCCACCCCAGTTAGGATTGCTGACATGACGGCCATCTCTTGTTGATTCAATGCTGCTTTAGATTCAAGTTTGTAAGCTGACATGGCCATTGGCCATAGCACATCCTGATACGAATGCCTCCTTCGAGCCCCAGAGCGGGGTGGGTGCGGGCCACAAGCTACAAGACATAGGTTCAAAAGCCAATGGCAGTATCGCCAATATACCGGGGCAGTGTCCAAAACCATTCTGCAAATAGCACAGTAAGATCAGGACCAGGAAAACCCCAGGACCTGGAGTTTTCAGCGCATCTTCGGCAATTCGATCCTCACTCCTTTTCCTCCTCAACTCGCCCTGTCGCATGTGACGTCTTCTCTGGATGTCCAATTTGGGCAACATGCCGAAAATGGCGCCCACCAGGCTGGGACATCCCGAAGAATTGGGAATTGAACACATGGGTAATCATTGATATTTATATATATACAATGTTACTATCCAATGTGGTTAAAGTATGGAATGCCCAAAACATATGGTGCAATATGTTCATCCATTCTCAACATCCGTCGTAGAATCGTAGAAAAACAAATGCCCTGACTGTGCCCAGCCCGAGACTCGCAGGCAGCGATGCGTTCGCTCAAATCGGTGATCGCAGACAAAGGCCATGCGCTCGTCTCATCTGCCATGGCAAGGGCTGACTGTGCCACTGGCATAACCGCTTGTAAATAACCGCTTTGGCCAGCATGATCTGGTGTAGGGACCAGGCTGGGGCACTTGTGTATTACCTATAATATACTGTAACCACTTCAAGTGTTGTGGCCCCAGGGGAACTTCCTGCAGTGGATTTTGCTGGCACCGCTCACTTGTCCAGCAAGCTTGGCTGCATGTAAAACAGGGGCAGCAAATCACTCCTCAGAACATGAATTGAAATACAGCTTTCGGGCCCTAAAATGTTAACTCCTTAGAGTGATTTGGCACGACTGAGCCATAAAATTGCTGGCACAACGCGGCAAAGCAATGAGCTGGAACACACACAAATGGCGTCCGATGAGTGCATGGCTGGCATTTAACGGGTGCTTTGCATAACATGATAGAATCCCACCAGCCCCTCTGCCAATCAGACATGTCCCCCTGCCCTGAGCTGGAGCTCGGTCCGGTCTCGAAGGTCCGGCGTGGGCCGGTCTTCTCCGTCGTGTGGTGCGGTGAGCAACCAACAGGGAATGCATGGAATGTAGTGATCAAATGGTTTAGGGAATAAGAACTGATCAACACATGATCCTAGCAGTCATCCTAGCCGGCTCAATCTTCAAAGTCTGAACCAGCGTCTTCCAACAGTGACCTTGTGAGTGGTTGGTTTCACATGGATCCTCATCTCAAAGTGGTTAGATAATTAGATATGATTAGATGTCACCTTCTTGGAATTCAGCTCTCTTTGCCAAAGTTGGAACGGGCGACGCTTCCATTAATATTGACTGCCAAGACCCGCAAGGGTTCCTTTCTGAATTATGTCGACTAAAACTATGGAGACCTAGTGTGGGCCATATCAGATTGAAGGTGCATTAACTTAAAGCCGTACCCAAACAATCTATGGAATATTTGCCTACATGGATGGGTTAATGTAGGCGTATTCCAGTCGCATGGTTCGGGATCCCGCAAATCCTGGATGTCGATGCTGCACTGTAACATGCACAATATGATTCACAACTGTGGTGGATCCAGACGATCTTTCGAACCTTTCCTCAACCAAGACTGACACTTGATCCCAAGGGCCCCTCAAATCAAGGCAGTAACACTATAAATCATAGTGATAACTACAATTTAAGCAATTATGTAACTAAAAATCAAGTACCAGGTTCTTCAAAGTGACCTCTTTGGAGTTCCTAAGTGACCTTTTACAGACCCAAGTGACCTCAAGCCGGGATATCAAAAGGTGACTTTCAAGAACCAGGTATGTATTATGATCATCGTATCTATCTATCTAGTTATATATATAGCGCCTATCAACTGACCATAATTCTACTAACCATCAACTTTTGTACCTCTCAAAACCTTTCAGAAAGCCCATGTGCTACTGCCACCCCACAAAAAGGAAAACAATAAACACATATCTTGCTTGTGATGCGTGGTTTCCACGGGTTTAGCACTTCCCAGCAGCACCTCGACTTCCGAGCTCTCCATCTCCTCCCATCGGAGCGAAAACATCGCATCGAAGTGGACAATGCTTTTGGAGGGATGACTTTCTAAGGGATTTTCATGGAATGACTTCAACTTCCATGTAAACTCGTGCGTCAAGTTTACATGGATGTCAAGACGGTGTAATCCCTCAAACGAGTCAATCTGAGGCTTAGCTTACAGTATTAGTCTTTTCTCGACCTACTGTGGAAGAACATTGAAGCACATGTATATATGATTCCCGTGACCCACCACCCTCTCAAGAAAGAGTCCCAAACTTGACAGTTCTACAAAATCTTCCACAACCATCACTAGACTCACTAGACCAGGATCGGACAAAGAAGGCTAGTCTGACCCCCAAAAAGGCATCCTCGCTTCTTCACCCTGCCGGGTGACCCGCAGAGGGGGTCGGGACAGCTCCTGTGATCGGCCCAGCGTCGCCTGAAGTGGGCGGAGCGTGGCCGTTTTCACGGCCGTTTGTGAAGGGATGAAGGGTATCAAGTGGCTTCAGCCAAGCCTCCAAGAAAAAGACAGTTTTTTTGGGCTCTGGCTTGAAGACATGCTGATTCGATCTGATTCATAATCTTCTTTGGGGTAAAATCCTTATAAGCTCTGCTCAAACACCTCGGACCTGGGATGGATGTTTCGCTAGGACCAGGCTGAACGTGGCTGTTGTCCATGATGGGGCCTTGAATTGAACATCTGGACATTTGAAACACCGGCCTCCTCCTGTTGGCTTTGCCACCAGGTGGTCGACGCTGGCACGCTGCCAACGTCAAAGCGCGCCTCAGAAACGTGAAAAAAGAAACAACGCACCACTGCACACAGTGTCTCTGATGGATTTTGGTTGATGCTTCCTGCCACCAGTCGGGTTTCCAGCTGATCTAACCATTGGAACCCTCTAGCTCTGTTCGATGGCGCGGGGTCGGTCGATGGCTAAACCTATGCGTTTGTGTCCACAGGTTGGTCAGCAGGTGGGGACACAAATTGAGTCAAACACTTGAGGTGATGTACTGCGGACCGCGGATAATCCGCGATCCCGCTGACAGCTCACCTTCAACTGTCTATTACAGTGCGCAGTTTGAACCCTGAAAAAAGCCTACATCTAGGCGGCTTATTTGTAAAAACAACCTTGGATGAAGTCAATGACATGTCATCTCGATCATATATATGCCACATTGCTTTCACACACACTATCTCCAAATACAAACCCAGGTGACAGTGTGGTCACAAAACCGCTGGAGAAGTAAAATGGTATGATAATTTGTTGTGGGAAATGCTTGCAACAATGATGACGATGACGATGAGGATGAAGCTGAGGATGAGGACGACAACGATGACACCCAGCGGCCGTTATGATATGTCCGTTTTGTCTAATGCAGCCACGATGGAGCGGCCCTGTAGCTATGCCTGTAGCACAGTACAAGACCATTCTATAATTTAGTTGTGTCAATCCTGTGAGATTGTGAGATGATTAGGGCAACAAATTGTGAAGCCGTTCTTACCTGGTTTTAAACCAACCACTTGGCATAGCACCCAGATGCGGGTTGCTTGCTTTCGGGATGTTTGGCATGTATACAGTATGCATTATATACATAATTACATATATATATATTTATTGTCATCTATCGCCCAACCAATTATATAGTAATATAGTCCAACATGGTCCAACCAATGACGCCCCTGAAATTGCTGGAGAGGATGTCATGTCTTTTCAGCTGAATATTTGTTGAGTGTTTTAATGAATGCTCAACAAAGGTGTCCAACGAGGGTATCGACCTTCTTCGCCCAGCTGAAATTGCAGCTCCTTAAAAACCTAGATCACCACGGCCACCCAGTTCTTGGACGAGACATCTTCAAACACCCAAAAGCCAATTTTCTTCGCCCATCTTCTTCGCCTTCACACGCTTGAGGGACTCCAGGACGTCGCAGGCACGGGTCCTGGCTGTCTTGACATGGATGACTTGCAAGACTGTGAAACGCACAGCCATATAACCACGGTGACCGTAAGGATCATGCCTAAATATGCTATGATGTAATCTGAGACTGGGAGGTGACAGCACCAGTCACCCAGGCGATCAAGAAGTCCTGGTTTTGCGGCCTATCTGCGCAGGGGTGAGGTCGCTGGACGCAAGGCTAGCTAGCGGCTAGCAGGGTGATGTCCCTCAGAGTCTTTTCCGGGCAGGCCTTGAAGCCGCAAGCAAAATGGACATTTGTTTGACACATGGTGCAATCGTCTTACAAAGCTCCAAGTGTTTCCTCCGTCGCCACCTGAAATCACCAATTGTCAAAGTGACCGTGACCTTCATTTCATTTTCCCCTCCTCTCTGCTTTCTCCATCCACTGCGTTCCATTGCATCTGGCTCCCTCTTAGGTCCAAAAGCGTCATTTGTTCCCCAGCTGGCCCACCGGTCGTGCTCCGCCAAGATCTCGATGCCGTGGAGATTCGGTTCATGTGCTGCACATGCCCCTCGTCCATTCAACCAGCAGAATCACTCACCAAACCAAAGCTTCGTGCACGGCCAGCTACAGTCTTTGTCAGGTGTTGTGCTATTCACATGATTCACATGGGCCCCAATGGATTGTTTAAATCAAAGTAATGTTTAAAGTCGGCACGGGGCAAAGTAGAAAGCCCCGTGGATTAAAAGTGCTCTCAACAAGACCCCAAAAATTAAAATTTACAAAACATGCCGGGACCATCTTGCCCTCCGCCCGCGCTTCAGTTCTTGACCCTCACACCTCCTGTGCTCCCACCGGTGAGTTTGTTCCCCCTTGCAGAAGCAAAAGACGGGACACCGCGCCGGCGGTGTAGCGGCTCCTCTGCTCTTGGATGGCGCAAAGCAATCCAGCAAGTGCCTCAGCTGGCGATCAACCTTGCAAAACCAACTCAAGAAGGAGAAGAGTTGATCCTCAAAGAAAGTAATAATTAAGTTAAAATGTTATTATATATATATGATCCCACTTCGTTCCCATGCCAGTGAAGCCGCGCCCTTTTCGAG